GATATTGCTTGGGGGGATGGAATATAAATGGTTTATTATAATTGCCTCTCCTTGATATAATCCTGAACCACTATTGAGGATGGCTATCTTCTGACAGACCCAAAATGATCGACTAAACTATACAGGGTGAATTGCTACTCGTGCTACAAACTTCTCCAGTAGATTCTTCACCCTAAAATGAACAAAAAAGTTCATATTGTCCATGGTCCGATTCTCAACCATTTCAGAGTAATTTCGCTTTTTATCGATTTTGAAAGATATCACGTCCTGGCGTCGGAAAATCGTGATATCTTTTAATCTAAACATTTCTCTGAAAATCTAATAGCACCGTTGAAATTCCCGTTAATTTTTCAATAAGAAGATGACGGTGGCAAAATGTTTGGGCTAATTTTTTGTGTTTTATTTCAGCCAGAACTACAAAAAGAGTGGAAAATTGTGTAAATCGGAAAGTGTATAAAGTAATCCAGAGTTTCTAATTTTAGTCTCAGAAGGCAGCAAATTTGAGGAAAACTACCTGATTTAATAACGCTTCCAACGCACTCGTCATTTTCTTATTTAGTGGTTGTGAGACCAAGATGTTGATGACAAAAAGAGAAAAAATGGTGGTTCAAGGATTGCTAATGTTTGAGAGTGACTTGCTACTCGTGCTACAAACTTCACCAGTAGATTCTTGACCCTAAAATGAACAAAAAAGTTCATATTGACCATGGTCCGATTCTCAACCATTTCAGAGTAATTTCGCTTTTTATCGATTTTGAAAGATATCACGTCCTGGCGTCGGAAAATCGTGATATCTTTTAATCTAAACATTTCTCTTAAAATCTATAAGCACCGTTGAAATCCCCGTTAATTTTTCAATAAGAAGATGAAGGTGGCAAAACGTTTGGGTCTTTCTTCCTTGACCTTCTAGCTGTTTGTAAACTTCTTAAGCATTACATACTAAATGGGCATTAAATTAAATTAAAAAATTTCAATGGAATTATGATTTTGATTCTCTCTAAAAATTAACGGGGATTTCAACGGTGCTTATAGATTTTAAGAGAAATGTTTAGATTAAAAGATATCACGATTTTCCGACGCCAGGACGTGATATCTTTCAAAATCGATAAAAAGCGAAATTACTCTGAAATGGTTGAGAATCGGACCATGGTCAATATGAACTTTTTTGTTCATTTTAGGGTCAAGAATCTACTGGAGAAGTTTGTAGCACGAGTAGCAATTCACCCTGTATTTTATTTTTGCGCTTAACTCTCCCGTTTGACCATGATTTAATTTTATGTTTTGTTTATTGTTTACCAAAGATTAATAGCGATCGCTTTAAGGTCGATAACCTTCATTAAAAAATTATCAACAGGCGATATTGATGTTTGAAAACAAAAGATGTTTGGTCTTTCACGGTTTATTGGACTATTTTGACCAGTCCGTTTTTAAAAAATATTTTGCCCATCTTTTAGCTGTTTAAGCGTCGCAGTCACAACATGACCAACAGTTATAGAAGCGTTACACGTTGAACGACAGCAATTAGTGCCGGTGTCATTATCCTCTATTAGCCAGTGCTGGAAAACAATCTTTCGACTGTTCAAACTTTCAGTCATGCAGTTCTTATAGAAAACTTAACACACTAGAGTAACAGAATATTTCACTAAATTTTGAAGACTAGAGTTGATTTTTAAAAAAATCAATACCCTGTTATTTTATCTAGGCTCCAAATCGGCCTTTGTTTATCACTGGTAATAACATTTTAAACGGAATAATTTATTTTATTTCTTTTGACAGCGGTCGGACCTAAATAGTTCATTCCTCTGTCTTGAGGGGTTTGAAACTGTAATGAAGGCCATTAGCATAACGCTCTCATTTCCAACATGACCATAAAACGGGATGACGCCTCCACTACGCCGGTATCGGAATTAAAATATTTTTGGGGTTTGGTAACACCTGTTTTTTTTTCTCTTCCATGAGGAAGATCTTCAAATGTTTATGTCTTTTTTTGAAGGAATGATGGCCTTATGACGGGACTTTTTTTGTTTAATTAAATTTTCTTATCAGAAAATCATTTCAATGAAATTGCCCTCTTATTTTTATTTATTAAAAACCAGTTCTTTGTGTAACAAACACGAGAGAGTTTCATGGGAAATAGTTCGTTAATTCCTAGGAGGCGTCGAACGGCTGACCTAACAGAATAGGTGAGGCTGTCGTAAAACGGATATAAACTTGGGCAATAGGCGGAAGGTTTTTTACTAAATCTAAGTTTTATCCTTTCGATTTTTTTAAAACTTAGTCGTTTTCCGACGAATAATTTGACAGTTTTCCATGAATGTCCGCCTGTTTTCGCTATGTTTGGTAGACAACAAATAAAGGTTCCCCATGGGATGATACTGAGATCTGTGGCTACGTGACACCGTCCTTGGTTCCCGGGTGTACGATCGACGACCCGAAGCCGCGTCCATCCGAAAATCCTGGAATTTTCAAGGACCCCCCCCCTGGAAAAAATATTTTGGACCAGTCGGACGGCCGAAATGTGCGGGGCCGTCGGGCGCAGACTTAGGCCCGTGTTCAGGCGCCAAATCCCCTCTTCGCCACCAGGAAACCGTCCACAATGAGAAAACCAAGACCTGAATATCCTCGGACTTTAATTTGTTGGCTTTTCAAACTTCAAAGACTGGCTTTCGAACAAAGAAGAACCCGAAACCTGCGCCGCTGGATAAAAAAAACCGCGTTCAAAAAGGAATATTCGACTTTAGATAACCACATATTCTGATTTTTGAGAAAAAACTTAAATTTTTCCATTATTTAATACTATTAAATGATATGAAATTTGACGCGTCAGAATACCAAAATGATCAGAAAGGACAAAACGTTCACGACCACCAAGTCAAGAAGAAATCTCTCAATTTTCACGAATATTCACAAAAAATGGATATTAGTCTTTGGATAATCCAAAATAAAATTTTCTGATTTTTGAGAAAAAACTTAAATTTTTCCATTCCATGCCAGTCCAACGTTATTAAATGACATAAAAATTGATGGGTAAGACCACCAAAATGATTTTAAAGGGTAAAACGTTCAGGACTACCGTCTGAAGAAGAAATCTCACAATTTTCACGAATATTCACAAAAAGGAAATATTTGACTTTGGACAATCAAAAATAAAATTTTCTGATTTTCGAGAAAAAAAATTTAAATTTTTCCACTATTTAACGTTATTAAATGATATGAAATTTGATGGGTAAGCCGACCAAAATGATCAGAAAGGACAAAACGTTCATGACAACCAAGTCAAGAAGAAATCTCACGATTTTCACGAATATTCACAAAAAGGAAATATTCGACTTTGAATAATTAAAAATAAAATTTTCTGATTTTCGAAGAAAAAAAACTTAAATTTTTCCATTATTTAACGTTATTATACGACATGAAATTTGATGCGTCAGGCCACCAAAATGATCAGAAAGGGCAAAACGTTCATGACCACCATCTCGAGAAGAAATCTCCAAATTTTCACGAATATTCACAAAAAAAGGAATATTAGACTTTGGATAATCCAAAATAATATGTTCTGATTTTTTAAAAAAACTTAAATTTTTCCATTATTTAATGCTATTAAATGATATGAAATTTGACGCGTCAGAATACCAAAATGATCAGAAAGGACAAAACGTTCACGACCACCAAGCCAAGAAGAAATCTCTCAATTTTCACGAATATTCACAAAAAATGGATATTCGACTTTGGCTAATGAAAAATAAAATTTTCTGATTTTCGAGAAAAAAATTTAAATTTTTCCACTGTTTAACGTTATTAAATGACATGAAATTTGATGGGTAAGCCGACCAAAATGATCAGAAAAGACAAAACGTTCATGACCACCAACTAAAGAAGAAATCTCACGATTTTCACGAATATTCACAAAAAGGAAATATTCGACTTTGGATAATCAAAAATAAAATTTTCTGATTTTCGAGAAAAAAATTTAAGTTTTTCCACTAATTAACGTTATTAAATGACATGAAATTCTACGCGTCAAACCATCAAAATGATCAGAAACGACAAAAATTTCAGGGCCACCATCGCAAGAAGAAATCTCACAATTTAAATTCCGTGTGTCTATTCCTCAAATACAAAAAAAAATTCAGGCCGTATCCTATTAAAGTTTGGTTCGGGATCGTAGAGAAAATCGTACTGAGAGGTAGGATTAAAGACTGAGGATGATTACCCCTAATTAGGGACTGATGGGAGCAATGGGGTTCCACGTGAAACAGGCCATAGTAAATTTAAACCAAATTGGTCTAACCATTGTTGAAATACACGCCCAAAAAATATATTTATCCTGATAGCGACAAATATCCTTAAATTAAAATAATCAAAATGTAAAGTACCATGTGATGAGTGGTAGGTGAATGCCCTATGCATCTCATAAGATCTTATAGGCATGCAGTCATAAAGATTTTTTTAAATTTTACTTTAAGCATTTGAATAAAGCACAATGATTGTTATGATATTGTATTAATTTAACACAATATGCAATGAAAGGTATCCTAGTTGTTGTTCGTAACAGGATGTGACAGTAAATAGCTATTATCCCTGTCTGCCCCCACTGTTCCTGTCTGTCTGTCTGCTTCGTTGGGATAAGGCTGAAAGGAATGCCGTGTTTTGACGAATCGTCGTTGAACGGGGTTCGCCGGGAGTCGGTCCTTTATCTGAAACGTCGGACGAGACGAACATCCCAAGGATGGACGCCTGCAATCTCGAGCCAAGGCCATTCAGGACCGGTCCGGCCCAGACCACGGCCCAAAGGACCGTTTCCTTGTTCCACCAGCTCACATTTTTCGTCTTGCTTTCTCCATCCAACACGCGGGGATTGTACGAAATTACCCCCCCCCCGTCGGATTCCCCGGGTCGACACATGTTTACAATGTAATATGAAATGGAAAACCGTAATTGTGGTATACAAATAAATTGTTTAAAAAAAAGGGCCAACTGTAAATTTTTTACGGACTTACCTGTTTTTCATGTTGTTAACGCGTAAACTTCTATGTGGAATACGGCCGCTTACCTGAAAAAAAAGAAAAACAGAAGTTTTAGAAAGAATTGGAGGAAATTTGAACATGGTTTTGAAATAATTAATCTCTAAGTCTCTCATCCCCACGACACTTTATGATATCTCTTTTTGTCTTGTTTACCCTCTCACATACACACTCTCTCCCGCCCTCTATCTCTTTCTGTCCCCCTCTATTTGACTATGTCTCTCACTCACTCACTCTCTCTCTTTCTTTCTTTCTTTCTCTCCCCCTCTATTTGACTATCTCTTTCTCTTTCTGTACCCCTTTATTTCTTTAGCTCTCTCTCTCTCTCTCTCTCTCTCTCTCTCTCTCTCTCACCCTCTCTCTTTCTTTCTTTCTGTCCACCTCTATTTGACTATCTCTCTTTCTCTGCTCCTTTATTTCTTTACATTTCTTTCTCTCACTCTCTCTCTCTCTCTCTCTCTCTCTCTCTCTCTCTCTCTCTCTCTTTCTTTCTTTCTTTCTTTCTTTCTTCCTGTCCACCTCTATTTAACTATCTCTCTTTCTCTGCTCCTTTATTTCTTTACATTTCTTTCTCTTAAACACTCTCTCTTTCTGCCCCCCTCTATTTGCCTATCTCTCTCTCTCTCTCTCTCTCTCTCTCTCTATCTCTCTCTCTCTCTCTCTCTCTCTCTCTCTATCTCTCTCTCTCTCTCTCTCTTTCTCTCTCTCTCTTTCTCTTTCTCTTTCTCTCTCTCTCTTTCTCTTTCTCTCTCACTCCTCCCCCCCTATAAACCATTTTGGCAATGTTGCTAAGAATAATCTAGATGTGTGAATGATTATGTGAGCAATAATTTAAGTATAAGTATGAAGAATTAGTATCATTTTTTGATCAATGAAGGTTTGGATTAATGGAAGTTTTTTTTATGTTGGTATGTACCAATTGTCTTTCGGTAAACGCGACAGCGTAATATACAAGATATTATGCCCATATCTAGAGGAAAGTGATGGAATTGATCCGATAAGAGAGCTCGCCAACATCAATTAGCCGGTTGATGTTTATATTGGAGATGTTAATTAATCCCGTTGTGGGGAGGACGCCCTTCTCCTGGATACGCGTACGATCTTCCTTCCCTTCTCCTCCTGGATTGCCATTGCCGATCCCGAGGAGGCCAAGGGCAGTTTATGCTTCGTTTCGCTCTTTCTCATCTCTCTCTCCAGGGCCGCGGCGTTGCCAATATTTTTCAGGACGGGCCTCGTTGCCAGACCACGGATGGCCAAGTCCCGGGTACCAATTCGTAACGCCCTTTTTTTCCCTTTCCTTGCGACTTTAATCATTCCATTTTTCGATTTCTCCCCGTCCCCCGCGCCACGTGGCGATGATTAAATTTTCACTTTGGATTTCTCCCTTTTTCCGCCCCATTTCACGTCTTTTTACAAGCTTTATATCTTATTTATATGGCGATAAAGCCGGTGAAGCTCGTCCCAATAAATGTCCTCGGATACATTTGTATAATTATTTAATTGTTGTTTTTGTAAAAAAAAAAATCAAGCCTACTCAATCTTAATAAATATATTAGAAGTGATAAAACTTCATACTTGATTTGGGTATTTTGTAAAAGGAAGAGCGGGTAGATATGTTTAAAAGTGAACTTTTATCCAGTTTTTTTTTAATTCTTTTTATATTTAATATATTGGGTTGTCCGGAAAATAATGCAGGATTTTAAGTTTTCATTAAAAAAAATCTATATAAAATATTCTGTTTACGTTTACAGGATTACTCATNTTTTGATTAAAGAACATTGCTTTAAAGTAACTAGTTTCTTTTTTTTTGTTTAATACCAAAATCCTGCATTATTTTCCGGACAACCCAATAGCTATATCATTATGTACATAGCATACTACAGGTATGGATCCGTCTGCCGGAGGTCGTTACGAAAATAAGAATACAGAGTAAATAATAAAAATAATAATAAAGAGAACAGAAATAAATCAAGGTTTTAACATTATTTGCTATATGCTAGGATACAAAAAAAAAAACATGTTAAAAATAATAGTGAAAATACATAAACAACAAACATGGGAGAAAAGTCTTAATCGTAAAGTGACAAAAAATCGCATATAGTAAAATCATATAATAAATAAAAGAAATTGGAATGAATTGGAGGGGTCAAAAATAGACTTCCATAACTAGGTCTAACCTATATTTCCAGGCGAAGATGTACTGAGTGAGCGCCCGGGTATCTGAGCAATCCAACAGATTTAACAGTACGTTTCTAGAGAGTGTGAAAGATCCCAAGTGTAACAACCTTATCTATAGCCATCTTAAGTCTGATAAACTAAGAGAATTTAGCTTCTCTCTCAGTAGATGAAGTAAGGTGTGCGGATGAGTCGTCTTTACATAAGGAAAATTTAAGCGACGATCCCGGAGTAAGCAAGCAATCCCGATGCCGTATCTTATTTCTAGATAGCAGAACTGACAAAAGAGCTGGCCAATCAGCTAGGTTTTCGTAGGTGGGTCAGGTTACTCCAAAACGTTGATAGAGCCTAATCGATTGGGCATACCAGGAGGTCTTTAGTCCTGATGACTTCGCTGTTATTTTAGCCAATTTTGTTTACAGGGAATTTTTTTTAACTAAATGAGAAGTGGAGTTTTAAGGTATATATATAAATCAGGTCAGCGGATGTTCCTAAGTAAATCATGAAGTTTGGGATGAGGTTAGGAATGGGTTAGGAAGAGCAAATAACTTACAAATAACAAATCTTGTTGTAGCTCCACATCTGTCAACCGTAACGGATGATTGAACGACATACCGAGTTGAATACATTAAATTTCAAGTGGATCAGAACCACTTCCTGTTTCGTCAATGGGACCCAGGTTTTACAGAGAGCAATTTTAGCACGTGAGATTTTCATATGGTTTGACCAGTATAATTGAAAGGTAAGCTTAACTCCAAGGTTTAAAATAAATTGATATAATAAGTGATATTCGTTCACCACCTCATGAATTCGGACAATTTGAGATTAAACGTCAGTTCCACTGGGTGCAATATGATTAGAATATTTTAATATTATGTTGTCGTCCATGCGCAGTATCTGCCTAAATGACAATATCGTCTGCATAGAGTAGTATTTTTATACTAACGTTGCCTATTCGGACTCCACATTCAATGGTCGAGGGGAGGTCATCGAGAAAGAGCGCGAACAGAACCGGACTGAGTAGACAACCCTGCCTAACACCACAATTAATCTCGAAAAAATCGTATATACCTTCACGCCCTCGGACCTCTAATGCTGAGTCTGAGAAAAGGGATTTTAGGATTTTCAAAAATTTTTCTAGAGATGCCCTAGTTACCGATCCTGAACAAAAGACCACTACGATCTATACCATCAAATGCGGCTTTTAAGTCCATGTTTAGGCCTTGCCAGCTTGATATTAATGATATTTAACAAGACAAGTTATCACTTTTAGACTCTACGGAAACCCGTTTGACATTCACTCAATATACCTTTTCTTACTACGAAGGCATCAATATCACGTCCAGGATCCAGTTTTGACTACTTTTTACACCTTTATTTTCTTAATCTAACCTGTTTCTTTCTTCTGACTTTTTCCGAACGCTTGCATTTAGAACAAATAGCATAAATAGTTATTGAACCAATTCCTGCAAATAAATGAACACGAAATAGCACACATAACTTGGTTAACAGACCCGACACCGTCCTGGTGTTGAGTATTACTTGTATTTAAACTTTTAATTATTTCTTATATGCAATAAAAGATAAATAGTCATAAATTGACTGTACATTAAAAAAATTGGACATTTCGACGAATGGGTTAAGGAACAAACATAAAAAAAAATTATTAAAAAAAATTGAAATCGACCGCGTGATTTGGCTCGGGTTTGCGTCCTCGGTTCTAAATATAAGCGGTATTTGCCGGGTCGGAATTGTGCCTTTACATATGTCCTGGTAGTGCAGCGGGCACAGGAATAGAACGGCACAACCGCACAGCTGAGGACAACAATAAAGAGCAAAACAACAAGAGGACGTTGGCCTCTCTCGCCTCCCCCTTTTCGACCGTACAGTCTTCTTTTCGCCGCGTTTTACATGACAACTCTAAATGGGACACCGTCATCTCCCTTGTGCGCGGGGGCCCATGGCGAGAACAAGAAGGATATTTTCCCCCAGATATTTTTTTTGTCTACAATGAGAAAAACAAAAAATATATCCTCCGGTGTTCCTAATAAAACGGGCCGAATTTTATTTTAAGGTCCTGAATATAATTCAACATAAAAGTGTTGGTGTGTTCAGTATAAAAATGTTACCTAATATGAAAAGTAATCAGGAAGATAAAAATATTTAGGAAAGGATCACAACCAAAAAACCTGATAACAAAATAGAGAAAATCCAAGCACTTACAAGAACCTCCCTCTCTATCACTCACTACCTTTCTCTCTCTCTCTTTTTCTCTCTCTCTTTCTCTCTCGCTCTCTCTCTCTTTCTTTTTTTTCTCTCTCTCTCTCTCTCTCTGACGCTTGCTTTATTTCTCTCCTCTCTCTTTCTTTGACAATTGCTATTTCTCTGTCTCTCTCACTAAAAGGTCCCATTCTCTCTCTCTTTCACTCCCTCTCAAAAAATAAATCATTTAATTAAATTTACAAAAATAACGCTAAATTTTTTAAAATATGACCGACTTCATAAAGCACCCATTATTAATATTGTTTTAAATTCAATACATTTTCAACAAGCTAAATATATCGATACTACTTTTCAACATCATGTTAAATGTGTTACAACCAGCATAAGGAGTATAAAACACTTCTCAATACCAGATTTAATTCTGTAAAATATAAAAAAATCGTTGTTATAACAAGTATATATATACAAGTATCAATGTTTTACCAGATGAAATTTACATTTATGTAAATTTTTATTTATTTATTATTACTGTTCCACATTCAGCTTAAATTTTTTTTATTTTTTTTATATATTGTATACATATGATATCTAGAAGTTCATGTATGTAAGGTCTAATTGTAAAATGTTCGTTTCTCGTTGAGTGTAATTGACCTAACTCTGCGAGATTGTAAAAATAAATCCAATCAAATTTCTCTTTAACCGTTGCTTTATTTCTCTCTCCGTTAATCTGTCCCTCTATTTTTATCTCTCATTCTCCGAAAGGCACGCTCTCTCAGTATCATGTTTTTTCCTTTTCCGACAGTTACGCTCTTTTTTCTCTTTCAACATCTACCTCTCTTTCTCTATCTCTCG